CGTGAATATAAAACATATAAATTTAAAATAATTTTTTTTCTTCAAAAAAGAATGTATAAATTAAAAATAATAGGGTTAATAAATCGTACGAACGCTATTCTTTTATTGAAAAGTTCGATATATTAAAAGGAAAAGACAAATGAATTTTTTTTAATAACCAACCTCCAAATAATTATAGTCAGAAGAGTCGAGCAGTTCCATCAGGGAATTTAAAACTTGAGGCCAATCTGATATCCCTCCCCTTGTAACAATTGTTGTAATAACATTACCGACAATACCCCGAACCATAGTATCAGGATCACCCAGACCTTTTATTGATAATGCTTTGACGTATTCCAAAACATCCGGTTGTATAGTTTGAAAGTATGTTCGAATTGTGTTTTTTAAAAGTAAACCTGCAATTGCACGAGTTGATGCATCCTCTTGTGGCATTTGTGTCAGAATGTACACCAGATAATTTGGATAATCAACTATTTTGTTGAATGATTCGAGTTTCTAAGAGAAGTCAAATTATAAATTTGGTTTTTTTTTGATCAAAGATATATTAATGTTCTTTTTGAAACTAAACATAGCCATTAAAGACTTGCTGCGGACAAGATCGAGAAGTGTGGCATAAAAATATAAGAAATTTTTTCTTTATAACAAACGATTCAGAAATGAAAAAGGATACTTGTTGTATTTGAGTGTGAATTTCATTATTCGGAGATACTGAATCTTTCAACAGCTGTAATAGCTGCGAGAGACCCTCTGGCTGTGGTGCCCAATCCATGTTATCTTTTTAAATTTGCTATACTGATGTCAATGTTTTTTGTAAGAAAAACTATCCATGAAGACCACCAAAAGAACGCACCCTTTTAAAAAAGAATCAAATAAAGAAAAAGATTTAGAGCTCACACGTGTCTGATTTTTTGATCAGCAGCCCAAAGAGAAAGTAGGGGCGTTGTGACGAATTCCTTTAACGTCAAGAATTTTTTTGAGCTTATTAGCACAGCAGCCGACTGCAGAAATAGTACTGTGCGTTTTTGATGTATTTGTTTTCTAGCAAATGATATATGGGGCGTACTACAAAATGAACATAACGCCACGGACAAATTTCAGAAAGGGGCACAATTGTGAAAATAATCGGATCTTCCAGAAATTGATTTAATGTGGCTTGTGTATTACAAACACATGACTTGACTTATTCTAAAAAAATTATAATTATATGCATAAGATATCCAATATTTATATGTAATATAAAAAGGTACTTTAACTCAAAAACAAATAATTTTAACAAAAATCTATTCTGTTAAAATAAATATAAATTTTCTGTTAATTATAATTTTAAAAAAAATTATAATATTTTAAATTTTATATATAATTAAAAATTTAATATTTATTATATAAAAATAAATATTTATATATTTAAAAATTTTTTAATTACTTTTTATTAATTAGTTTAATTAATATATATAAGAATTATAATTAAAAATTAATATTTTAATATAATATTAAATATTTTATATTATTTTTACTATATATATATTATTTTTTATTATTAAATTTATTTATTTTATTATATTATTAAATTTAATTAATCAGATTATTAAATTTTTATAACTTAATTTATTAAATATAAAATATAATTTAATATTTATATTAGTTAAATTAATAAATAAATTTTATTAACTAAATTTATTATAATATTTTTTATTATTTTTTTCTTTTTTTCTTGTTATTATTAAATTAATTTTTATTTTTTAATTAGATATTTTTAAATTACTTTCTAAGTATTTATAATATTATTATATAATTTTTTATTAATAATTTTAAAGTATTTTTAAGTTAATATTTTTAAAAATAATATTAAATAATATCTATTATTTTAATTCTTTTTCTTATTTATTTTATTAATTAAAGTTATAATACTAAGATTTTTCTAATTAAAAGTCTAATAATAATATTTAATTTTATATATTTTCTTGAAATAATAAATTATAATTAACTTTTATTTAGTAAGTTTTATTATTTTATTAATATTTATAATTTAATTAAATTTTTAAATTTTTATAAAGTATATTTAAGTAAACTTATTATAAGTATCTTATTATTTTCTTGAAATTTTTAGTTATTTTAATTATTTAATATAATTTATCTAAATGAATATAATAGTTTTAGCTTTTTTTTCTTTTTAATAATATTTAATAATATTAAAATATTTAAATATTATATATATTTTTGATTTCTTAATATAATTAATATTATTAATATTTTTATTTTTTATATATTATCTATTATTTTTATAATTTTTTAATAGTATTACTATTAAAAATAATTAAAATTTCTAATATTATTATAAAATTAATGAATATATTATAATTTATAATTTTATAATTTTTTATATTTGAATAAAAAAATATAATTTTTACAAGCTAACATAATATTTATATTTTTAAAAATTTAAAAATTTGAAATTTTAAGTAAAATTAAAGAAAAATCTAAGTTTTAATATAAAAATAAAATATATAGTATTATTAAAATAAATTAAAAGATAAAATAAAATATCTAGTAAAACTTTTTTTATATAGAACTATAATTAAGAAAAATAGTTGCTTAAATTATTATTTTATTATTAAATACTCAAAAAAAAGATTATAATAACTTTTTTTATAATATTATATATATATTTTTTATAAGATATTATAATAACTTTTTTATAATATTATATATATATTTTTTATAAGATATTATTATTTTATATAATTTCTAATTAAGATTATAATATAATATATTATTTATTATATATATATATTAAGTATTATTAATTTACTATTATTTTTTAATAAGTATTTTAAGTATTTGAATAAAGAATTAATAAAAGTAAAAATAAACAATATAATTAGATAAAAAATGAACAAAAAAATAAATAATGAAATAATTAAATGAAATAAGATATATTTATAATAATTTGAAATACTATTAATATAAGTAAATCAAATATTATAATTAGTACAGTCCCCGGCGAAAATAATGGCGGTGAACATTTTCGTCTATATTTTAACAATGAGACGTTCAAAACTCATGAAAATTTGTAGATATATTCTTTAAAATATATCTACAAATTTTCATGAGTTTTGAATGCTTCATTGTTAAAATATAGGCGAAAACGTTCGCCGCCCAGCGACTGTATTATCAAATTGAATTATATACGATTAGATATTCTTAAAAAAAGAAAAAAATATAAAGATATTCTTAGTAAAACTAATACTATTATTCATATATGTGACTGTGGTTGGTTAGTATGAGAAAGACAGAATAATAATAATATAATAATAAATATATAAAAATGATAACAAAAGAACAAAGAAGAAACTTATTCATATAATATAAAAGTAACTAACTATTACAATAAAATATAAAAAACTGGTGATAAATAAAAACATCACTTACTGAAGAATAATAATGAATAATAAATAAAAGTATTTATTGAAAACAGAACAAAAAGAACTTATTAGTAATGAATGAACACAATATTATAGAATATTAATAATAAATAACTGTGATACACAGTGGACCTCGTTAAATCGGGGCTATTAATGAGAAATTTTGAGAAATTCGATTTACAGAGATTTACTTAATAAATTCGGTTTAACGGGGTCCTTTATAAAATAACGGTTTTTGAGCGAACTTCGATTTAACGGGGTTTACTGTGTAATGATAATAATATTAAATATAATAAAATTCTGCACTAACAATATAACAAATAAAAAAAATTTATCAAAAGAATACTTATTGAAACTGAGATCATGAATATCTATAAGGAACAGAAGTAGCATTTCTACAATAGTAAAAGAAATAAAAAGATATTTGTAAATATCTACTACTGGTAATGTAAATAATAAACAGGAAGAAGAAAGAAAATTACTAGTAATTAAAGAAATATAACAACCAATAGAAAGAAAATGAAGATAAGAAGTCAATGATAAAATTCCAATAGCAATCATACTAATGAATAAAAATATTGTATTTTCATAAATATCTTCTCTAAAAAATATAAATAAAGTAATGAATAAAATAAAAAGACTTACTGGTGATAGCAAGTAACAAAATGGCATACTCTAGAAGTATAAAAGAACAAGATAGTATGGCATTTATAAATGTCTACTCCTGATAAACTGGAGAAATAACCAACAGAGTGAAAAACGGAGGGGTCAATTGAAGACAAAACAGTACAATGGCAAAACTTCAGCCCAACAATAATAAATCTTCAACTATAACGATAGTAATAATTAGCAACACTGACACCGGAACTAACAGAAATATAAAATGACAAATATACTTATCACGGAAGCAAGATCTCATAATAGTAACAAATAACTATGAAGATTATCACGAACAAAACAATGGAGATTATCATGACAAAAATGTAACATCTAACAAATAACCGCAACAGTGGTGACTGAAATAATGATAACTTATGACTAGAATAGTAAAGATTCCTCTACTCTGAAATAGGAGAAACAGAAGGGAAGAGAAAATAGTATAACTTTCGTAAATACCTATTTTTCCTGATGAAAATAATGAAATTACAAATGAAAGCACTTACTGAAAATAGAATAATAAAGAAGTCACTTATCAAGAAAACAGATAACGATCATTGATATCAGAGACGGATTTTCCCGACAGCAGAAAATGGGGGTTGCTGTTGGAGTTTTGACATTTACCTATCGATTTTAAATGACACTTTCTTTATTCTTTGTATTATATCATTAAAAAATTATATTATTCAGGAGTTTTGGTTACAATATTTATCGAACGCGTCATAACCCGAGGACTATTTGAGAAATTACCGTACATTTCAATTCTAAATCTGGAAATTTCATTTTAGAAATATAAATACCTTAGATAAAATAATTTTAATCAAGATCTTTCTAGCCAAATATATGTACTTTCAAATAATTACAAATAACATGCAAGTTGTCAAGAGTAATTAAGAATTTATCGTTATGTATAAAAACAATCTAACTATTTTCAAATGTTAAGCCATAAGCAATATTATCCGAAGAGCTATAAGTTTGCTCAAATGTATCAAATATTTCCGAAAAACCAGTTGGATAAGTTACTAAATTTCGATTTTCTGCTTGGAAGAAACTATAATCTGGTATGCACGAATAACTAGCGGTGTTTGAGAAACACGGTGTTTCACTGAAACTAAAAATATTAGAAATTCCCAACCTCTGACCTAAAATTCCATGAAAAGAAGTTGAAGCTATCTGAATTGCTCTTTGAGCTCGTCCCGACGTATATGGTCCTTCTCTAAAATAAGCGTTCAAACTCTGATGCTGAGAAATATTTTGTTCTCTGTTTTAAACACAAATTTAATAAATTTTAATAAAATACAATTTATTGAATACTCTTAATAAAAAATTAAACTTACGCGTCAATTGGTATTTTTTTAAAACAAAGACGAATTTTCTCCTTATGGTCCTTATTTTTATGTATATATGAGCTAAGTTTTGATATAAACAGCTGTTTTTCTTGTTTATCTAAGAAATATAAAGGGCATGATTGTTCGATACAATGTTCTATTTTTAAAACTGCTTTAGATAAACAACTTCTAAATAAGATAAAATAATTGGCCGGTTTTTTCCTAACATTATTAATATTAAAATATTTCTCTTGTGTGTAAGGATTCAAGATAAGTTTGTGATCGCAATTATTCAAAAATTTAAAACATAGAATAATTTTATTTTGGTCAATAATGTTAGAATTTATAATGTTTGGCATCATCTTAAATTGTTTTTTGTTAGACGGCTTTTCTTCATGATGACCAAGTGATTCGAGATTTGGATATGTTGGTATAAAATTACTCATTGTTTTAACATGAAAGGATAAAGAAAAAAAAGGAAGGAAAGAGTGTCTTTTTATAGATATTTTCCTAATTGTATAATACGCTAAATCATACAATTCCCATTATGGTAATTGCTAAAAACGAGAGTTTTCTTTATACATGTGCAGTACATGTAGTCTGGAGTATTGCTCCGGCGCATAACCTGGAATATTACTCCGACTTGCGTTGGGTTATAACTTGAGTATAAACCACCCTAACCCAACCCTACTTGTGTCGTCACAAGGTATAAAAAAATTAATACATGTACATGTACAAGAAAATCAATGCCTAAATCTCTTATATCATCGATCGGGTATATTGAAAAACTAAGCAAATTTATACATGTACATGTATTTTGTATTACAGTTTATTCTACGAAGAAATGAAATTTTAACCCTTTTAAGAATTCTTATTGTTACGGCGTTTGATGTACATGTACATGTATTTTGTATTACAGTTTATTCTACAAAGAAATGAAATTTTAACCCTTTAAGAATTCTTATTGTACATGCCTTATGCAAAATGACATCGAAGTGCGCGTGTATTTTATGCTTGCTGAACCGTTAGGAAGTGGTGATATACATGCAATATTCGTTTATCGAAAACTATAAATTGGTGGTTTTAGCTCATTTTGATCCGGCATAATTTGAAAAATGACCAATTCATCAAATTGTTCATGCAAAGAAGAAAAAGCGCCGTTCTATATTTGTCGAGAATACAATTCTGCGTCAAGAATTTGTTCAAATTGCAACGAAAAAGGTAATTATAAATTTAAGTGTGAAGTAAGCGGATGCTTTAATACAAAAGAAGATTACGATTTTATGCCCTAAGTGCATTTCGAGAGATATTTGTATGAAAAGTATTTTATGCAAAATTTGCAATTCAACTGGCATTAGTCTGTCATAAATTTATCGTAATATGTGTTTTGAAAAAGAACATTGGTGTATACACATGTATTCTGATGAGATTAACGACGACTACGTAAAAAATAAAATTCATAAAAGAAAAGGAAGCGCCATATATTGATATTTGTCGAAGGATTGATTTTAAAAGAATTCTTTGACAAAAAAGTATTCAGTAAAAGAAGATTTGATGCAGTTTTTTCAGGAAATGGAAAATGACTTGATAATACAAGCTTTACTGACCGACTTATTTAATAGAAAATTTCCCATCCCAAAAACCATGATTGCTTTAAAATCCTTGGAGAATTCGAAAATTTGCTCTACTTGCAATGAAAAAGGATTCATTGGGCGTCAATGCTTGAAGGATGGTTGCAGAAATCTAAAAAAAGATACCAGTTCTTCCTGTTTGCTATGCATCTCGACAAATATAAGTTTGAAAGATATCTTGTGTAAAACTTGCAATCCAACTGGTATTGGCCTTTGTGTTGAATGCTTTAGTGATGTGCGCTTTGAAGAAGAGTATTGGTGTATGCAATTCATTCCAATGAGATTAATGAATACATAAAAAATAGAATCGGAAATTACGAAATAGATAAATTACATTTGGGAAAGGAAACAAAAAAACAGGTCAAAGATGTAGAATAAATCGATTTCAACAACTGTTTTGATATCAAATATTTAGCAAAAGGAGGATTTGCGACAGTATATTCAGATCTGGCCAAGACTCAAAAGTTGCTTTAAAATGCTTAGAAAATTCAAAAATTTCCCAAAAGAATTTCTTAACGAAGTAAGGAGATTACATGATTAATTGATATTCTAATTTATATGTCTTAAGCTAATATGTTTTTATTAATATAGCTTTATGCTTACATTAGAAAAAGTTATAACATTTTACGGTATTTCATTTTATCTAAAAAAAATCAATTGTTTTAGTATTAAAGTATGCAGAAAAGGTAATATTCGACAATAGTTATAAAATGAACACCAAATTTGAATTGGTATCGTCGAGTGCAATTATTAGAAGGCATAGTCGAAAATCTAAATCTGACAAAGCTCTTTATATTTAAAATACTTGTTAATTTATAAATAATTTAATTAAATAAACATTTTAATTAATAAATTAACTTAAAATTTAAAAATTTAAATTTCTTATATTTATAAAAATAAATTCACTAATTTTATTTATAAAGTATTTTTTATATTTAGATTAAAACTAATAAGTATTTACAAATTTTATATCTTATATAAAATATTTAGATTCATAAAAGAATATTATATAGATAAATAAATAATATAATATTCTTTTATTTTTAAAGATTTAAATTAAAAAAATAAAAATATAACGTAATAATAAAAAAGCTTAAACTAAATAATTTACAAGAGAAGTTTTCTAATTATTTTAAAAATTAACTTTTATAAAAACTATAATAATTTAAATTAAAGCATAAATTAATTTTTATAATATAATACTTATAAACTTTAATAATAAAATTTGCTTAATATTAACAAATTAAAATATAAAATTAGTTATAATTTATTTAAAATAGATTTATTATTATTTTTATTAAATATTATTCAATATAAATATATAAATATATAATAAATAAAAGTTAATAATCATTTCTAATAAAAGTTTTATAAAATATAACTAATATTTATAATTTTTATATTAAATAAAGTATATCTTAAATATAATTTTTTATATTATTTTTAATAATAAATAAAGCAAAACTTTTTATTTTTAAAGGATAAAATTTGTAATTTAAGAGTTAAAATAATTTTTATGTTATTATATAAATTTATAATTTTAAGAATTTATACTAAGTAAATATATTATTAAATATATAATAAATATATATTTTAGATTTTAATAAAATTAGATTATTAGTTATTAAGAAATTTAGGTTTAAAATTCAAAAATATATATATTTTATTATATAAACTTTATAAACTCAGAATTTAAATAAGTTTTATTAATTATATATATTTTATATAAAATAATTAAAAATATTATATATTAAAAATATTCTTAAATATGATCTGGTACAAAAAGATTGGTACATCAAATAAATATTAATAAATTATTTTTTCAAAATAAAATTTTTAATTCTGTCTT